CAACCTTGGTAACTCTGCCTTTCTGTAGTTGCCTACTTCTGTTTTTTTGTGTGTTTTTTTTCTTTTTTTTTTCAAAAGGCTTTCCCTTTCCTCGTGTAATTTAGCCTCATTGTGTTGAAAGAGTGATGTGGACCAGACTGCTGTGGTGTATTTGATTTATCAGGTTTTAGTGCTATATGCACCAAAGTGTGTCAGAGAAGGCTTGTTGTTTATGGTAGTAATTTCAGCAGCTGTTAGAAGAGACATTACTACTACTGAAATCTGGGACTGATTTACTCTTGATCTGCGTCCCTTTGTCATTCACTGTTTGCTTGCTTTTCACATTACTGGTACACTCTAGGGAATTATCTCGTGTGTACTGTAGACAAAAGTGATTGATTGTTCTCTCCACATGGATAACTTTTTCATCATTTATAAAGTAATTCATTAGGATTTTTTCATAGTTCATGATCTAAAAAGCAGAGAGCGTAGTTCAGTCCTGCTAAGTTCCAGAGCTGGTGTGCTCACTGGTGGCACGGGCCAGTGAAAGCATGAATCACAGAATTGCAGAATATCTGAAGTTGGAAGGGACCCACAAAGATAGTTGAACCCAATTCCTGGCTTCACACAGGAAATTCCCAGAATCCAAACCCTATGTCTGAGAGCACTGTTCAAACACTTCTTGAACTCCTGTGGCTTGAGGCTGTTATCACTGCCCTGGGCAGCCTGTTCCATAACCACCACCACTCTCTGGTCAGAACCTTTTCCTAACACCCAGCCTGACCCTCCCCTGGTGCACGGTGCTCTTCTAGTACTAAATAGGAACATGAAGGCAAATTATTTGAAGTGAATCAAGAGAGTAAGTCAACTTTCAGTCTGGACAGCTTTGCTATTTGAGATTGCTGCAACTGGTGAGCACCATGGTATGCTGAATAGTCTTTTTGGGAAAACTGTATCCACACTGCCTGCTTGAAAGCTAGTACTGTGGCTATTTATTGTTGGAAATGGAAGTTTCACTGTACTTTACCATAAGGCAGTGATGCAGTGGCAAGAAAAATACTCTGAGAAAATGTGTGAACAAAGGGAATTAAGGGAGAACTGATTGGTTTTATTCTTTGCGAGAACCACAATAAGTAGATTATTTAAAAGTTATGAAACTGAAGCTTTGAAAAATAAATAGTTTCAGAAAAAGAGGTCTGAGAATCAGAGGTGATAAGAATAATTATTTTTTCGAAGATGTCAGCAAATTGGAAGTAATTTTTTAGGTTAAACAATTCACAATACTCTGAGACAGTACTGTTTATTAGTAAATTGGGAAAATAAATGATATACAATGTTGTAATTTACAGAAGTCAAGAATGTTATGGAAATTTGTAGTTGCTAAATATTTTACCATTGCAATAGATTAAAACAAACAAAAAATTCTATTACATGAGTGTATGAATGGAAGATATGCCCAGAAGATGTTGTTGCCACTGATGACATGTACATAACACTGATGGATGGCACTGGCTCTGCCCATGCAGATCAAATGTCTGGCAGTCATCTCCCAGATCCTGGCTGTGCCATGGTTATTTGTAGCATATTGCAGGAACTGTGGGCGTGCGCATAAACTCCATTTATTTCACTCTAGTAAAATTTCTATGCGGGGGGAAAAAAGGTACCTGGGGAAATAAGTGTGTACCAGCTGGTACTGGCACACATCAGCTGAATTTACATCAAGTTTTAATGGCAATAGAGCCGTGATTGTTCCTTGCTTTGGTTGTTGTGGGGAGAATGTTTTTGTGGCTTTTTAAAAAGGTATTTCTCATTTAGTTTCCCAGGTTTGGAATGGAATTATTTTGAAGTATTTATTTTTGATATTTTACCAACACTGGGATCTAAAACCAGGCTGTATTTCAGTTCCAGTTCTGATGCAGTACAGCTTCCAGTCCTCTCGCTCTGCTCTGCACAACCTGCAAGATATGCACAGTGCTACAATAGTAATAAACCTGACATTTTCAGTGATGTTTAAATGATCAACTGATTTCTGCTAAGTGAAGGTCGTGTGTTTTGAAGCCCCAGCATTTTATGTGCAGGCATACAGGTGTATCTGTCAAAAGGTTAAAGTTAAGATGAACCTGCTATGTCCCACCAAAAACTTCCCAAAAATAGTGTCCCCTCTCCAAGTAGGTAACAGAAGATCTTCTGACAGACAGAGGAGATGTTTTTGTGAACCGTTCATTGCAAAGCAAAGATGTCTGGCCGGGAGAACTGGAGGCAGAGTTGATTCTCTGTCCTTTTTCTTGCCTTATCTGTTTGTACAACAAGGTACCAGGTGCTCTCCCTGCACAGATAACGGAGAGCCCTGGGGTTCCTGTGAGTGCAGAATCTCTGGGAGCACATTTGAGATGGTTAAACTTGGCACAGGCTAACAGGAGACCAGGCAGCTGGGGGCTTACGTTGGTGCCATTTTGTTAGGGGCCTGACCATAGGATTTTTCTGAGGCATGTAGGAACAGGAATGAAAGAAATTTGTGGTTAAGGGAGTATTTTTATTTGGAATTAGTTTGGAGGGAATAAAGGAATTATAGGAAAATTTGACCTGTGCTTTGGCAGACCTCACAAATTGATGTTGCTGTACAGGTAGAAGCAGTGGTAGATTTGTGTCTTACTGTGCTGCCTCTATTTTTAGTTTCTGACCGCTTGCAAATTCTGTTTACAAATGTCAGGAAAATGCATTAGGATTATCTGCATTGTTGTAGAGGTAATGAAATGCTGGCCAGTTTAGCCGATAGAACAGCTAAACACGGGCTCCCACTGACATGTCAGTGTAGCTGCTAAATGCACACTGTGGCTCCACGGGACTTCTAAGCTACCTGTGCTACTCTTTCCTTATTGCTTGTTTCCTGATTTAATATGGAGATTAGGAATCTTTTAATTTTTTTTTTTTAAATTCTTTTAACATCAGAAGCTCATCTGAGAGTAACTGAGAACGTGCACTGAGGAGAAAGGAGGGGCTGGGATGAGGGTTCAGCAAGAGCTCCTTAATCCATTCCTGCAATGCTGTGTGTAGCTCATGGAGCATGGCAGTTATACTGGAGGCACAAGGACTGAGAGTCCCTAGCCCTTCTGTCAGTGATCTCTAGCACTTGGTCTTTTATTGCAGCATTTTACAAGGGATTGCTAGGGATACCAGCCCTCAGAAAGTCTTTTCTGCCACTCTTATTCACTAGCCAGCAAGAGGCTAGTGAATTCCACTTTGAAGGCAGTCTAGAAGTAGAAATAGGAGGAAAGTATGGCTTTGAATGAATGTTAGAGTACAAAGGCAATAACTCTCAGAACAGAGCAACCTTGTGTGTACCTGTGAATGCCCAGTTTTGGTAGTGAGATTTCTCCAGTTTTTGAAGCTGTGTGTCTCTAAGGAAGCATGCAATGGAAATCTGATGGGAAACATATTTTTATGCCATGAAGTGTTTAAACTTGCAGCTGGAACACTGCAGGCTCACGTCAGCTTGTCAAGTGTAGCTCTTGCCTGGCAAGTCTGACCAAGAAATAGAGGCTCTTTTTTCACCTAGGTGATGAAGGGTGGGAAGTCTTGATTTAGTAGTGAGAGGGAGATGTAAATCCATGCTTACTGTCCGAATACTTTACAACTGAGAAAAAATGAACCTGGAAAGGAACTTGACTTTTCTTCATGTTTTGTAACGAGAGTCTAAATATTTGTGATATATGGCATGCATGTGTCCAGAGCTAGATGTTAGATGAATAAACAAAGGGTTATTTATTCCAAGATTTTAATTGCTGTTTATTCAGATAAGTACCACAGAGCTGTAGCTTGCAATTACTGAAAAGAACAGTCATACCACAGCAGCTCTGTTCTGCCAAGCTGTTCTAATGAATGATGAAATACTGAAAACTAGCCATTGCTTTTGTCAGCCTGAGACTGACAGTTGTTGATGAGTCTTTTTTTTTTAGCTCAAGTATTTTTATTTTTATGAAAATGTACTTTTAATAGTAAATTAGCAGATAGCTGTTGATGAAAAAGTGGTAAAATTAACCCTGTGCTTTATTCATAGTCAGCTTTAGTACTGGAACTGAAGTGCTGTGTGCATTTTGATCAGGGAGAACAGGTTCACTTAGTCCTGCTCTCAACCCTCAGTCTGCAAAATGCAGCAAGGAAACCACAGCTGCTCGGTGCCTGGGGGCTTGCTCATAGCCATAGCAGTGCTGTTGGCCTCCAAAAGCAGTTTGATGCAGTCCCAGATCCAAGTGATGGCATTTTCTCTTCTGTGCTTCTTTGTTGGGATTCCTCTGTGCTATTGGGGGTGTTTTTTGTTTTGTTTTGGTTTGTTTTTTTTTGCAGAGCACCGTCTACAACTGGAAACTGTGAGATGGTGGAGCTAGGATGCATAGAATCAAATGATCTAAGCGACACCTTTTTTCCTCCTAAACTTTAGCCTATTTTTAAAGAGTCAATTTAGAGGCAAAACGCTGTCAAATGTGAAGCTGGTTAAAATGTTTCCCATTACTACTTCTGCTTTTGGAAATCATTGATTCAGTGGAATTTGAAACGTTTCTTGTGGCTGTGTGAATAACATGTAGGCTTTCTGGCAAAAAGATGACAGACAAGGTGTGTGAATGGGCCTGCGTAACTTCATGTCAGTCAGGTGGGCTCTTGTGCCTTGCTGGAGCAAAAAGCACTTTGGGATGGGAATTTTTCTAAAAGTCTGAAATTGTTATTTTACTCAAAACCTCATCTGAAAGACAGCATACTTCATAAACACCGGTTTCTGAATGCTCTGCTAAACTTTATCCCACTATTTTAAAGAAAGACAAACATCTCTTGATGACCTCTAGGTCTAGAACCCTTTTTCTAAGTGTTGGGCAGGTTATTCTAGTAGCAGCTGGGTGAAGCTAAGTCCATGTGTTGAAACTAGTTTTCGAGTTTCCAGCCGAGAGAAGAAAGGATACAAACAAACAAATAAATAAATAAAAATAAAATATTTAAATGATTCTAAATAATCATTTTCTTTCCTTTAGCTGTCTCCGTAATGAGATACAGTGCATCATCGTTTGGATTTGCTGTAAGTAGAAATAAGAGCTAAATATTCTCTACTTTTTTTTTCATGTGCTCTTTCTGAACACAAAATACCTTTTTTTTTGTAAGTTCATGGTAACATGTACAAATGCAATGGCGGATTAGAAAAATTACTGTTGAAGTAAAGCTTTGGAAGGAATAATGGAAATATTTTCATTTTAATTCTTTGGTTTCTGACTGCTGAGGCTTACACAGGAGTTAATATTTATATCTCATCATTGGTAGGAATTATCTACCAGATATGGTTATCTTCTATAAAATCTATCAACTTACTCTGTTCCCTTGTTAAACTTTGAGCAAAATTCCTTCTGAACTTTGCATGTCCTTCCTACTGGAAGGCGAGGCTAAAACTACAGCAGACTTTGGCACTTTCCTTCTGTAATTGTTGCCATGGTTCTCCTGATCAATAGCAGAGCAAAAAATTTCCTTATGACATGCACAGTGCCTGATTTCAAACAGTTTAGCATTTACTTTCAAATTTGAAAGATAGATTGACTCTGTAGAAAGTTTGACGTGAGAATGAAAGTTTTTATAGTGGCTCAAACATTTTTTTTTTTGGAAATTTTTAGATATTACCTGAAGTCATTTCTTAATTTGCTGGAAATACAAACATTCTCTGTTTTAAGAGTGAAATAGAGAACTATGAAATCTTGACAAACTGGGATTTTGGCAAAGTTAAATGTTCTTTGCTTTGAAACAAAACGTCCTACTGAAGAAAATTCATGAATTTTCAGGGAAAAGAAATATTTGGCAGGCATTTTCAAACACTTTTCTTTTAGAATCTTTGCATATGAATCATATTTGCAGTATTGTAACTCTTGTGGTGCCACAGTATCAGTTTATTTTTTTTTTTTTAACTCCTCCAGATCCAGATTATGGATTACAAGTAGAAAGTTCTTAATCTCTTGCTCGACTGGATGAGTTCTGAAGTGCATCATTGTGCAAAAATACATGGCAAGATCAATTTAATGAATGTAAATCCTACTTTCATTAAAATGATTTATTCGAAGCTGCTTTGTGCCTGTGCAGCAGGATGGTAAATATGTTGCTGTTAGTATTTGTGGGCATCTTGTTGGACCACAAAACAATTGACTCTGTATCTCTTTCAGTTTGATGCTACCCTGGATGTTTTGTCGTCAGCGATAGTTTTGTGGCGTTACAGCAACGCAGCTGCTGTACATTCTGCACACAGGGAGTACATGTAAGTACACTTAATTGCTTTTGGCTTTGATATAGGCCTGCAGAGCTTTGGCTGTCAAGCTGTGATGTTGAGAAAAAAGCATTTTGCAAGTATTCATTCCTTATGCCCATTTTCTGCTTGGACCCAAACACATAAACTGTACCGGAGCAGACTTCCCTATGTTTGTGATTTTCATTTTCCTTTTGGCCAGTGTAGGAATTGTTAGGGCTTTGGGCTTTTTTCCTTGCAGCATCTGTGTTAGAAGGATTGTATCTGCAATCTGTAATGGACTGTAAGTCTCTTATTTTGCCTATTTCTCTGTTATTCTTCTCGGGGTATCCCTTCAAAATTGTTGTTTATATTATGTATGTGCCACCTTTAAAAACACTGAATATATGTCAAACGCCTTCTTTTTAAATGTAAATCTCTTTATCTTCTTGTGATATTGTTAGAAGTTGAAGTTACAGAACACCTGATAAGACTGAGTTTCTATTAGTGATTTGGTAGCAGGGTGACATACTTTATTTGTACTACTATACAAATTGAGACATAGGCACACACACAGATCTCCTTTTTATTGCAGAACAACTATTGTCTTGGTAAATAAGAGTATTACCAGTATTTGCACGTCTTCTCCAGGGAAGAATGTATTTGCTTGAAAAGAAAGCATATTTAATGATTGCTTTTAGAATCCTATGGGAAAAAATAATCTTTAGATGGCAGCAGTGTATTGACCACAGTGGAGACTGTAATCTGTGTCATTTCATTTTCACTGGTGATGCATGTGGTACCTGAGAAGATCAGATTGACTTTGGCTAAAGAATTGTTCTGGATAGTGCATAAAGACAGCTTCTACCTCCTGATCACATTTCTAGTACACTGAGATGCAAAAGATGCAACACTGTAGAACATTTATCTGCCCTGTTCTGGTTCTGCGTTGCCACTGCTAGTAGTACCCAGTCTGGCTTGTTTGAAGATAATTCCACTATCCTCTGGAATGGACTATCATTGTATTACATAGGGGGATGTGATAGTTTTTGTCCTCAAACACCTCTAATGAAGTCCCTTCCACAAAAAGGGATGCCTGAATGAAAGTGGGTTTTTTATTACCGGTAGACTCAAGGGGAAAAAAAAAATACACAGAAGGAACTACAACTTGTCTTCATAATTCTTTCCTATAAACTAAGAAAACTGTAAGCAGTATTTTTAAATTCATTAACTAGGGCTCGTGCAACAGCTTGGTCAGTGTTGTGAATCTCTTTCTGGCACAATTCCATGCATAATAGTTTGGAATTAATGGTCATAGAAAACTGATGTGGCATTGATTCATAAAAATAAATACAGAAATATGTGATCAAAATTAGCCTATCTGCACAAATTTGGAGATCTTAGCAGACATTTCCTGAGCATCTTGCTCTTGTGGGCGTCCGCAGAGATTCCTGTCAACATTTAATTAACATATTTTTGAAATCTCCTTCTGCTGAACAGTGAACATTGTTAAGTACTTTATAGGGAAAATAAATCCCAGTACAAAAGAAGAATCAACATATCCCTATGGCTAAGCCAACAAAGTGAACAAGCAAAGTGGCAAACATATTTTCCCGCTTTTTATGCTCTTTATAAATTTGCTTTCATATAATCCCTCTTCTTTACATAAAGCTAAATTAAGCCAATATATTACTTGCCATGCCCTCTAGTTGAAGACACCAAAGATTACGTGGTGAGATACTGAGTTAAAGAATACAACTATATGCTGGGAATATTAATCACTGGGTAGGCAATCTGGTTATTGCTTAGTTTCTAGATTTGACAAGACAACGATCATTTTATAGACGAGCAAAGATGATTTTATCTTAAGGCAGTTCCTACTGGGTCAGATTTTTGAGAGAGGCATATTTCTAGTTTCCTGTTGTGTTTAATCAATCTTTTGCTTGAAAGACCACATGCAATTATTTTTTGTCTCTGCTGGGAAAATGTTGTGTGACTTCCTGGCTGCTTACTTAACTTTTAAATAATTCTTGTACTGTAAGTGACTATAACTACACCTGTTCTTTCACAGTTTTTATTTTATTTGTGCCAGGGAAAACCATCTCTAAGACTTTTGAACAGTTTGGTCATAATTTACATAGGTGCTTGTGTCATGCTGTGCATTGTTCATGTTTCTGTGTGCCCAGCTGTACTTTGCCTTGCTGTAGAAGCCAAATGCCTGCCCAGAACCCAGCATTTCTATAAACACATTACTGCATTTACTAGAATGAGGTGTGTACAGTTTTGCTCTTCATTAGTGGGTCTCTCCTTTTATTGATTTAAATACATTTTTGTCTCCTAATGTACCTAAAAATAATTTGTATCCCAAATTCCTTGACAGGAGCCAAGTGAAATTGCCAGTAAATTATGTGTTATAAATTTATAAAAGAAATTATTTTATAAACTTGACAGAAGGAAGTTGATGCAGAATCTGCTGAAATCAGTGGAAACCTCTCACTGAAGGGCTAAGATAGATCCTGTCCTGTTAGGCTTTGTTGAGAGAGAATATGAACATAGAGTGGAAAACAGAACCCTAGAAAAAGATATAGAGAATACAGCTTGACTCATTATTTATGATCAATTAAATGCTTACAATGAGATGCTAAGATACGAAAGAATATATTTTATTTAGCATAATCTTGTTAAAATGTAGCCATATGGAAGTGAGAAATGGAGCATTTCATGAGCTGGTACTCAGAATGAGCAGTGGAAAACTGTGCTCTGTGCCAAGTTCTGTTAAGTCAAACTGATGCATTGCCGTTTGACTTCAGGGGGATTGTAGTTCTGTATGTCCCATAAAAATGTGCCCTGCTGAGTTTAACTTTTTACTAGTTCATTTGATTTCTCTCCTTTTCTGGAGCAAGAGGCGAAGGTACTTTTTGGTGTACATGTGACCAGAGTTCTACAATGTACATCTTTGATAATTCTCATGGCATTTAACACATGCCTACAACACAACCTAAAATATATTTTAACTTACCTTTGGGATTCACCCAAATTCTCTGAAATTGGTGGCCCAAAGAGATCAACTTACAGACTTATGCATGTCTTCTATGGATGGAGAATTTTTCTTAAGTTGTTGTGAAAAGATTTAGCTGGTTAGATTTGAGGTGTGTGACTAATTTTTTTATGCCTTATTTTTAAATATAGTGGCTTTGAACATACAGTGGATATTGATTAAGATCAGATATAAGCCACTGTAAGCCACATGAGACATTGCTTGACTTTGTCTAGCTGCCTTATTAATCAAAGTATGTGTAGGAGTGGGGTGAACATTGAAAACATTTTTGTGACCTGATATTCCTTGGATAGTTTCTCACTTCTCTATCTTACTGTTTTGGCAGTCAAATAAAAGGGCCAAGTCTCTCAACTACTCAACACGGGCTATAGTGTTTACATGTGTTTTTTAAGAGTTTTTGAAAGAATTGTAGAACTTGAGGAGTGCAGGAATTGGGAGAGACCTGAAAGGAAGGATACCTGGAAAGAAAGTCAGAGTACATGGTTTCTGAGTGCTTAACTTGCTCGGCATGATCTGCTGGGTTGCAAAAGGGAATTTGGAGGTATTGAGTGAATTATCTAAAAGGCAGTAATCCAAACGTCCAAGAAGAGGTGCGTGCTGACATAACAAGAGAGGTAATGTTGAATTTCAACCAAAGATGAAAACTTATGACTGAATGTCCTTGCAATTTCCTGTTTTTCTTTATAAGAGGAAAAACTGAGAGAAAGGAATAAACTCTGATACAGCTGATTAAAAATACAATAGGATGACTATCTGTGCACTTCAGACAAGTGCTTACCACTTAATGATGAGGATTTTTGTGCAGCACTGTGTCTGCAGATTTGCATCTGTAAGTTTTATTATGGAGGGGTTGGGGTTGGCGAGCACCTCTGGAGATCATTTCTTTTCAAAGCAAGGTCAATAGAGCAGGTTGCTCAGGCCCATTTCTGATTGGAATGTGAATATCTTCAGGGATGGAGGCGTAGCATGCTCTCTGCATAATCTCTTTCAGATGAGTATTTCTTGTATTTCAGTTTGTAACCATTGCCTCTTGTCCTGTCACTGGATGAGAGATCTCTACGAAGCTAGATAAGTGTGCAGAAAAATCTGTGCCAGGATAAAATTCTGAAGCCAGTCTTCTCTTTTATGTTATTTAAATATTGAGCTGTCACTGAGCAATTCAAGATGCACCAGGAGATCTGAGCAGTGTACACATATTCCTGAATATTCTGCCCCTTGGTTAATCTTCAGTGACATAACAACTTCTTGGGATGCTGAAGGAATTCTAGGTTTTGTTGGTGTTGGAGAAAATTTATTGAAACTGATGAGGTAGTAGCAGTTTTTCATGTACATAAATAAACCCAGTGAATAGCTGTAAAGTCATTTGCTAATAGAAACCTGGGTCATTGGGGATCTGGAAAAATGTCTCACCAGAGCTGCAAATAGTAACTAGCTATGCAGCCAAAGGTCAACTCTTTGATCTGGTAAATTCAGGGATGAAGGACTTAAATTGAAGCAGTGGAACTGAGTGTGAGGAGGTAGTGATAACTGCCACTAAAAAAATGAAAGCCTGAGAAAACAGAATAACAAACTTAGGGCACATAGGTTTGTGAAAAATCTGTAAAGGATGCAACTTTTAATGTGTAGTTGGTGGGAAAAGTCTCAAACCTGTGAACAAAGGAAACATCTCCCATTTGATTCTCCTTCTGTTCAGGAAATAGTGCTTTGCTCATTGTAAATTAATACAGTTGGCAGCCTCAGGTCAAATATTCAGTTCAAATGGAGTAATGTTCTTTGTAGGTTATAAGGTAGTAATGATGCTGTGTTACAGAGCTGCAATTGCATTTTGCTACTGTGTGGTGCAGGGGCTGTTTCTGCTTATGCCCTCAGGACCCAATGCTCCTAGGATTTTTTTGTGCCTTTTTTTTCTTTTTGAGCTTATATCTTTAGTGTTGCAAAGACTAACTGTGCAGCATATTTAACACAGTGATTCTTG